AACCATGATTTTTAGAGAGATCACTAACATTATGTCAATTTTTATTCATATCCTTTTATTTTAAGCAGTAAGTGAATTTATTCTTTTTTTAATGATTTTGTGCTTTTAAAGATGCTAAATTTAAAAAAAGTATGAAAAACCACTTAGACCCACTTCTAACTTCACAGTGACTTCTCTTTCACCTCCCGAAAGGCAAGCCCATAAGAATTAATGTCTCCTTTATACCTTTTCCTGGATGCTCCCCCTTCAACTAGTCATCTTTTTATGCTCCCCTTCTTTGTCATGTTTGTACATCCTTCCTTTGTGCTAATACCTGCCTCAAGTCCCAGTCAAATCCCAAGTCTTCCTTGACTGGTCCTATCCACAACGATTCTTTTCCTCTTAGCCTCTCAAGGGACAAAATGCCCTGGAGAACGACTTAGCTTTCTACACCTGTGTTTGTACTTGATCTTCCCCAGCTAGGTGGTACTTAAGATCTTTGGAATAGGGTCTACACCTTGGGACTCCTTAAGAGTTCCAAGCACAGGGCTGGATGAGCATGTACTAATTCAAGATTATGTGATTGACACCTCACAAGGGTTAAAAACAAAACAAAGCAGGACAATGTCAGATTATACAGACGACTGTCTGCTAAATGAACAGGCCAAATATACTCCTTGATACCCTATGCTTACAAAGTCCTATCTTCATTAAATTGATATTATCTGCACTATACCCCTGCTACTTGGGGAATCCCGGTAGGAAATTTGCTTTAGGCTAGAGAAACTGGTGCCCAATGCAGTCACTGAAAGTTAGGTAGTAATGAGGGTAGTCATTGAGTCTGACAGAATCTGTAGAGTATGACCCTATGCACACAGACAATGTGGAGTTACAAATCCAGATGCAACAGATCAGCAAGCTCAACTGCAGCAGGAAGGTCACAGGCAGTGTCTAGCACAAGAGTCAAGAAGGGCTCCCCTGTCTTGTAGCAGGAATGTATGTTCCTCACCACGTAGGGATTCAGTAGGGTTTCCCCTTCCATATGTTCCCTATTGTTTCCAAGAATGCTTTTGAGAAGCCTTTTCCAGGAATGGAAAAAGACAGGGTCCAATATCACCTTAGCTGAGTCAACCCTTGGCTCACTATTTAATCTTAGAAGGAATTTAAAAACAAAAAAGGACAAACAACAATAAAAACAAAAAGCCCCACAACAACAGTAACAACAACAAAAGGTCCATCTCTCCCCCAAGAAGGAGCTCTCTTTTTGGGGGGAGGACGAATTCATACTATAGAGAGGGAGGAACCAGTTGAATCATAAAGTCAGATTTTTTTCCAAAGCAGCCAATTTCCAGGTTAAAGACCAAGCCACAAAATGTGAGATTATCTGGCAACAACACTGTCCTTTGGGCTGTAACAATCTAAACAAATGCTACTCTAACCTCATCCTACTTCTGTCCCTTTCCTTCCAATAATATCTGGTTGTATTTATTTGGAAGGAAATTCACGCAGTTAAAAAAATAAAGAGGTAATTCTGGAGTGGGACATTATTTAGGCAGGAGAAGGCAGCGATGAGGTGGGTTTGAGAGGAAAGAAGAAAGATTCATTCCTAGGTACAGACCTGCCCCATTCTACCTTGTGGATGGATCTAGTTCCTAAGTCTGGCGGGTTATGGCACAAGATGGCAAATGTAAGCCATTCATTGTGTTCCTAAAGGCATTTTGTTTGGCTTTGTCAATCCCAGCCTAGTCTGGTCCACTCCCCTTGCATGTGGACTGGAGAGAGGGACTCACCACAAGTTGAGCATTTTCAGGCAGCTACAGAGTGTGTAAAGAGAAAAACACAGAAAGGAAGAGAGAGAGAGAGAGAGAGAGAGAGAGAGATTAGTCCACAGAGGTGAGATGGAAGCGACACCCTGTGAGCCATGCAAACATGCAGGACGTGCCTGTGTTTAGTTTCTTCCTGTCAAAGGGGGTGGGAAGGGGAGAGGGTAAACAGGCCTCCCTTGGGCCTGTGGGGCTACCTGGTCTCAAGTCGGGGGCTACTAGGTCCCCACTCAAAATTGTAGGGGACAGGATCTGATAGGTGCTGGATGGATCTCAACGTGGGGTAAGGCAAAATGCAGAGTTGGGAGGGGCCCTAGGATGGGCTTTCCTAGGTAATTTCTAGGAAGGTAGCAAGGAAACCGTGCCTATAACAGCCCAGCCAGGTACCAAGATTGAGCCATTTTGGTTCTCACATGAGGTCTGTCAAGTATTCTGAGGGGCAGAGAAGTGCTTGTCCCTTCTACAAGTCTAACATTCCTGACCAAAGCAACCAGCAGTTAGCTTCTCCTCTACAAAGGGATAAAAGATTTAAGAGACAATCACTTTTCTTATGAGAGGAATTAGAGGGAAAGGGGTTGCTGCTATAAATTAAGGTAAAATTGCCACCGAAGGACCTAAACCCGATTTTGTTAATTCTATGGAGAAATGAGGTCCATATTTGCTAAATTATAGCCAAAGTCAGTGGATACTCCAAAATTCCTTGTGTTATTACTGTAAGAAAAACCAACTGTTTTTACTACCCTTCTAATCATAAACAAGGGCAGCTAGTGAAAAAAGGAAGTCATATGTTCATCTGTACATAGAACGAAATCCAAGACTGTTGTTTCTCTCCTTTACATAAAACCAGCTGGGTGAGAAACCCCGAATCAGAAGGTTGGAAATGACGGTTTCATATAGTCTCCAAGTCCCAGAGCTGAGTCTCAAAAGAAACAACAACCCCCTTTCCGCGACAAGCAGGCTGCATGGACAAATGGTATCACAGCTGCATGTAATGAAAGGCTGTTCGGGACGTCTTGTGCTTTTCTAGCTGTGACTTCTTCCCATAAAAACGAGCAAGCAGGTGAACACATGGCTACTCCCTCCTGGCTCCCCATACTTCTAGAAGGCCAAGAGAATAGCACATAGCTATGCCCTGACAGTTTCCTGGGCAGGATGAATTCGTAGCTTATGAAAGTACTAAGGGAACCAGCACACAAAATGCCAAGCCATGAATTTTGGGGTAGCATTTGATCAAATACAATCGCTCACCTACAGTTTCCACACCTTTCAGCAGGTCCAAACCTGGGGCCAACGAGGCATAGTGGCCCTTCTTGCTAAAACTTTAAATTCTCTTTATATCCTAGGGCTTAGATGATACCAGAACAAAATACACAAGATTGAGATCTACCTGGGTAAACTGCCCCCTACCTTACACATAGGACACAAACACCACACTCACATACACAATTAAGAGTACACATTTACCAAAATGAACTGAGAAACCTGTGTAGGGCATTTTATAAGTCGACAGTCCATTCTATCTTTGCACTGAAAGAATACTTAAATCCTGTGCTAAACTTAGTCTTTAAAGTACAATTCACAAAGGTGAATTGAGGATGGAGAGGGAGGTAGAAAAGCCCAAACAATGTTTGGTTCCCAGACTTGGCTACCCATTAAAATCACCTGAACATCTAAAAAATACAGTGCTCTGGCCACACCCCAGATCAGTGAAATCCGAAACTCTGGGGTCAGGATTTAGATTTATTATTTATCAGGTGTTTGCATTTTCTAAGATTCCTCAGGTGACTCTAAGTTACAGCCAAGGTTGAGAATGCTAGAGTACTTAATTATTTATGTAGTTTTGTCATGGAAACTGAAAAACTGTGAGTACCATTTAGAAATCCAGAATCTTTAAGAATAGGGAGCCTGCTTCCGTAGTAAGGGTCTCCTCCTGGCATAAAAACTCCCTCTGCTTGCTCTCTCTCCTATGTCATCAGTACCGTATAGAAACCAGGAGATTAGCACCTGAAGTTGCCAACAGTCCTCAGGGACTAGGCAGGAGAGTCCAAGTCTTCCTCAATGTTTTTTATCTACTGGCTAGGTATGCTCAAGCCCCAGTTTTCCAAAGCAAGAACCTCTTGAAGGTAAAAATGAGCTCATTAGTACATGGGCAAGTGAGTCACGGGGAACGGGCACATGGGAAACGCATCTGGAAGGAGAATAAATGCAGGTCTTGGCTGGCTTCTCACCAGCATACACCCAGAGAGAGAACTTGTTCTGACTTGCATTTAGGCCGTTTAAGGACTCAAGAGACGATAAAGAGAATATGAACACTGTAAATCAGTTGCCTGCTTCAGAGAACATGACACCGGGATAACCTTCTCAAAGCCTTCAAAAAACAGTAACAAAAACATCATACATATCTGGGTTGGCAGCAAATTACTGACTTGTGAGGGAACTGTATCACCCTACCTGATATTTTCTTGGGAGTTTAAATCTATGTCTGAATTTGGTAGGAGGAAGAAAGGGAAATCAGTGATAGAAATGCTGCTTTTACAGCAGAATCCACAGTTATTTCACTTTCTACCCCAGATTCTAAGAGTTTAAACACAGACCATGCAGAGAGCACCAAAGCGTACGTAGTGGTGGTATGGGCAGGGCAAGACATACACATGCAAGAGAAGCAGAAAACCATGTGGGGTAACCGCCTCATCCTCTTGGGAATAATGTGACTTCCTTTCATTCCCAAAGACTCTCTCACTCACATGTGCAGAGGTTATTTTTCTTGCCTCACTTATCTGAGTCTCCTTAAATCCAGGATGATTGAGAGAAAATAAAATGGCTCTGACATCCTTGCTCTAGGACTACACACCCAGAGTAATTAGCTAAGAACCCGGTACTAATACTGTTCAAGAATGGGCCATGGTTTAGATAGGTATATTTTTCTCTATATCCCATAGGGAGGAAGAAGCTCCACAGCTCTGATTAAGTCTTTTGAACCATGTGCGCTAAAAAAGAGAACTAATCTCCCAGAATTCACAGCTAAAGAAGGGCAGCAGCAGCCTTGCATTACCATGCAAAAATAAGATGGTCAAAAAAAGGAAGCTGCAGACACAAGCATGAAGAATTCAGTCTGAAATGGGCAGCACACAGAGAGGAAGAGACATAGAGAGACTCTTCAACCCATGACTCAAGAGCCCCCTTGAAAGATGAACGTACTTAGCTTCCTCCACTACCTCCACCTCGGGGTGAGCTGTAATTGGTGCACTGGAGTGGGCTCCCGTGGGGTCATCAACATTCAGCTCTCCATTGGTTGAGCTAACCACCTGAAACAGAAAGATAGAGTGTGACAGGCACCATGGCAACAGGATCCTCTTGTCAGCGTCAAAGAGGTCACTAAGGAAGACCTGGTGTCTAGCTTAGAACCCGAGCCAAACAGTGTCTGGAATGTTTGTTTTCCTTGGATGGAGGGGCCAGTTGTCCTAATTTTGGGAAGGTATCTTATATCAAGGATCCCGGACCCATAGCACTTGATCATATCATGATAATATCTTCTATATTGACTGCCTACTCTGTGTATGTGCATGTGTATAGATGTAATCCTCAAAAACCCCTGTAAAAATAAGTCCTATTGCTTCTTTTAATAAATGGAAACACTCAGGAATGATTTAACCATGGCAGAGACTGAAGGAAGTTTATCCTAAACATGTAGATTCTCTGATATAGCAAAAATGCACACAGCTTTTTATTAAAGTAAAAGTAACTGCATAGCTGACTTCTAAAAGTCACTTTGCTCCCTTGAACACAGTGGGTAAGTTCTCCTCTCCATTCATCCTGCTAGGATTATGTAGCTTCAGTCGGGATGCTTTAAAAAAAAAAAAAAAAATTCTAAAAAGGAAATAAAAAGTGGGCACCAGAAACTATAAACAGTCACACTTTCCTTTAGCAATTTCTTCATGGCTTTGATCACTGGTTTGAAGGTACTCAAATAACAAGACTGTCATATCCTCTTTGGTGAGAGAGTGGATGGTAAGGAAACACTTTCCCTTGAAAGACCAGTCTTATGTCAACAACCTTTATTTCAGGTTCAGTGTCATTCCCACTTCTCACTGATGGTCCCCGAACTGTAACTGAAGGCTCTCATTCCTGTCATCTGGTTAATGTGGACCCGATCAGGCTTCTCTTGCTTGTGCGGCTGCTTCTGCCACCTGGTCTCATTTCCAGCACAGGAGTCCTGTTTATGTGGGTGCTGGGGAGTGGGAAAAGGGACCCCGCTGGACAAACCACTCTGCTGTTAAAGACTTTGGCTGAAACATGGGAGAGAACCACAAAATAGAATAAACGGTTCGGCTATCACATGCCCCTGGGTAAGTAAGTCATCTATCTGAGAATGTTTTTTACAGGTTGATGTGAGAACTATACAAGGCAATGGAAGAGACAGCATCTGGTACAATACCTGGTGCACAGCACTAGAGGCAGCACACTACAGTGCATACGAGCTGGGCTCTAGAATGAGTCAGCTCTGGGGGTGAACCCCAGCTTCACCACTTGCTTGCTGTGGATCCTTGGACATGATCCTCAATCTTTCTGTGCCTGAGCTTCCTAATCTGTAAAATGGGGAGATAATGGAGCTTACCTAATTGGGTTACTAAATGCAGACAATCCACAGAAAGTACTTCGTATAGTGCCTGGTACATGGGAAAGGTTCAACAAATGTTCCTATTACTATGAATCTTCCTTCATAAATGCGTACTGATTTATTTCTTAACTGTCTCAAGAGCTGGGGTTGTCACCAGTAGTCAATTTGCAAAAATTTCAACAGTCATAAAGGGAGGAAAGAGACAAAAAAAAGTCTAGTATAAAAAGTCTTTGAGATATTTAATCAAAGACAAAGGGGTAGAGAGGTAAATACTGTTTACTGGTAGTCTATACACACCATTTTTTTATATTGGAAATTTTAATTGTTTTCATAAATAATAAAATCTTTAAAAAACATTAAAACGTTGCTTAACAGTATGTGAAAGAAACCTACAAAATTAACTTTGGGGAAAAAAAAATTTAACTTTGGACTTGCCCAAGGGAGACCCATGTTTCTGCTAGTGATCAAACTTAGCATCGCTGATTAATATAGCAACCTAGCCAAAATCTTATTTATCTCCTGACATGATATGGTAGATAGTATTCAATAATATCTACCTAGTATTCTTGTCAAAAAATATCTTATCTGAATTTAATCATGAAAGGAAAAAAATCAGACAAATGAAAAATGTGGGACACTCCATAGGCTAACAAGTTTGGACTTTCAAAAACGTCTTTTTTTTAAATACAGGAATGACAGTTACAAACTACAAGAGACTAAGTAATTAAGAAACTAAATTGGAATCAAAACCAAATGCAATGCATGCCCACTGATTAGATCCTGGACATGATAAAATTAACTTTGGGGGCAATGGAGGAAATGTGATATGGACTGTATACTAGAGATTATGGTACTGTTATTAATTTTCTTAGGTGTATCAATGGCATTGTGGGTTACATGACAGAATGTCTATTTTTTAAGTATTAGGTTTAAGTATTCAGGGATATAGTCTGATAGTGCCAGCAACTTTCAAATGGATTAGACAAAACACAAACAAAACAAAAAACCCCACATTTATGAGGGGCTTCAAAAAACTTATGGAAAAATGGAATGAAAAGATAATACAATTTGTCCACAAACTCAACACATATACTCAACACACAGAGTTGAAGCAAATGTGGCAAAACCCTAATTCTTTAATCTAGGTAAAGGATATATAGCGGTTCCTTGCATTGTTTTCAACTTTTCTGTAGATTAGAAAATTTCAAAACAGTCCTTGCATTGTTCTCAACTTTTCTGTAGATTAGAAAATTTCAAAACAGAAAATTGGGAGGAAAACAGCAAAAACAAAAAGTTGAGGAGAGAGGATTCAGCTTGGTGAATTGTGGTGCCACCCTCAGCCCTACATTTACCTCTTCATGAGCACATTCTGGCAGCACCCCAATGATAATGTCAGCAAACCTGTTCTGTAAGAACAAGGGTTAAAGGAGAAATCTTGTTTCCTAATGAACAACTCAAGAACTAGATGGATGTTAAACACAATGCCTTGCCCTCTGCTGATCTGGATGAAGTGGCAGTAAACATCAGCACTGAGAAATACCTGGTGACTTTGGGCACGGTACCTGCTGATAGCATTTCATGTATCTCATACTAATTCCTGCTCTCGATGAATTACTAGTTGGCACAGAAGCACTGTCCTCAGGAAATCTAAGAAAGAAGACATCATCCCCATTGTACAGGCCAGACCTCTTTGCTGTATCAGTGACCATCTGACTCAAATAAACAGGCTTACTTGGGAACCTTATCAGTTGCCTACCCCTTAAACTTAACTTCACCTAACACATGCCCGGGAATCAATGGCTACTAATAGGCTTTCAGGGCATCCCCATAAGAATTATTTCAGGCTGGAGTTTGTCAAACCATTAAACTGCTTCCTGGATATGTAGGTGACAGAAGAGCTGGACTCCAGGCCCAGCTCTATTATCAACATCCTCTGAGAGTCTTGGTTTCTAATTCTATAAGACAGGGCTAATAAGCTTGGTCCTATCAACTTCATCATTATTATGGTAGTTAAATACAACAATGTCTAGGCAAAAGATTTATGAACCATACTTAATGAACGTCTGTTTCTGGTTGTTTGGCACATTTTATTGTTAGTAATGTGTACTACATACAGTTGTTGTAATGTTTCCAACCCCCAAAGACAAATAAAAATTAGATCTATAAAGAAAGTGATACTATAAGGCAATAATGACAACTAAAAAGAATTAAATGGGATAATCAGCTTACAGCAGAACCAATTTACAACAGACTCACTGGAACAGAACCCTGTGGTTAAGTCCTGGACTACCTAGCATAATAAATAATTAGTATTTTAAATATTGTTGCTATACTCTTTTAAGTATAACATAGCTATACTTTTTCTATGAAGTATAACTTCATTTTAAAGAAATAAGCTTTATTTGCATGCCAGAGATTACTGTCATTTATTGTACTGGTATAGTGCTGTAGGATAAGCACTGGACTGCTAACCAAAAGGTTGGCAGTTCAAACTCATCAGCTGCTTCTTGGAAACCCTATACAGGGTCATTATGAGTCAGAGTAAATCAACGTCACTTAACAACAAAAACAATTACTATTAAAATTAATTCCACATTTCTCCAACTATATCACACAATAACAAAGCAAATAATATCTTATCGTACTATCTTTAAGAAAGACTCAGATGAAATACTACTTTGACCTTTAGTCCTCAATACTAGTAATATATTTAACTTATAAATATTAGTAACATATTTGAATTGTAAAATTTAAGTTTTTTGTCTAAGTCTTTAAATGATTACTGTGAAGAATTATTCCATAATTCTCTACTTCAGCTTTCCTATCTATAAAATGGGAATGATACTCATCTCAACAAGAGTTGTATATAACTGAAAATTATAAAGGTTTTGAGCAAAGTATTTGCTAAAATGTTAATTATTTTCAAGTCCTACACTTGCATTGTTCTAGAGATTTATAACAATTTCCTATATGCCTCAACTTAAATAATTTTAGTTTTTATTGTGATTTACGTGTTAGTTTACATGGGTGAACATTATCTTCACATTTATCCTATTATACTTTGTTTCATTGCAATGATCACGGTCCCCTGCATGAATCATCAAACACCCAAAGGGTACACCCCACACTCCTACACCTGGCCGCCAGCACACAACCCCTCTCTCTCCCTGAGTCCAGAGTCCCCAGCTGCTCCTTCCATCCATGTCATTGCCTCTGCCTCCAATCCTAGTGTCACTGCGTCTCCAGACACAGTCTCGAACTTCGCTTTTCTCCCTTGACGGTTCCAGGGATCTCCGCTCCTGGACTGCAAAATCAGCCACTCTCCTCCTTTTGTTACCAAACATTTACATTTACCTTTCCAACTCACTGTCAGACCAGATAGCAATCATTCCCTATTGAACCACAGGAATCCTTTTCCCCTCACCTTTTTACCAACCCCATCCAGACAGGTTGGAAGCAATTCAGTGGAGGGTCTACGATTCCCTTTGTCCTCTGGAGCTAGGTTGCCTATTGAAAGCTTGTAGGCCAGTCACTTCTTGCCTTTGTAGTCCCCCCATTTTGGGTAGCCAATGTCCAAGTTCCCCCTCCCTGTCGACTCTGTGTACCAAGGGGGTGGGAATGATCCTCACTCTAGAGATTTGTCTGCTCCTATGTCATACTGCATCCACAAGCATAAGCCAAGATCAT